GTGTCTTTGTCTTGGCTTTTATCCTTACCTCAGTGCCCTGGAGTCAAGGCCGCCGCATAGGGAGCCTATAGGACAGGGTAGAACTGGCCCTGTTTCTGAGACTGTGGCTTTTGCTGTAAATAGAAAGTCCGTCTTTCTCCCCAGGAGCAGCAGGTGGTTTGGAACTGCAGGCCCTGTGGTTAGCAGCCCACTGGTAACCGCTCCGCCCCCAGCCCCTGTACGCTGAGAGCCGTGCTCTGAGACGACAGCAGGCCCGCTGTGGGTGACTAACTTCACGCAGCACAGAGTCCTCCAGGTCGGTCCGTCGTGTCATGAGGTGCTTGGGGTTCCATCAGTGTTTTGTAGCGATGCATAGTCTTCCATGGGGGTGTATGGACCAGAGTTGCTTTATCCAAGCTTCTACAGATGGGCATTTGGGCTGTTTCCAGCTTCCTCTTATTGTGAACACGGGTGTGCAGATATCTGGTCATGCTGTGGCTCTTACTTCTTTGGGTCCAGACCCAGCCAAGACAATCCTGGGCCATCTGATATTTCTATTCCCGTATCGTTTTCCACAGGGGCCGCGCATGCTTCTTAGGGTTTGCAATGACCAGATTTGGGGAAAGATCACCAGCCTTCTTTTAGAGGCATCTCTGGGTGGGACTGAACCACCACCCATGCCCTTAGCAGTCCAGGTGTTCACTGCTTGCACCACCTGGGGACCCTTTCTGGGTAGAACCCCACGAATGACTCACCTCCCCTGTGATTTGTTTTCCAGATGGGCAGCTGACTTTGTGGGAGAGGCCACCTGATTGCTCACCACCCTTCCACACACACAACTCCTAAGCACACAGGCCCAGGCCCACAGGATGTGTTCATGGTAGAGTGGGCTGTGGAACCCAGACCCCTGGCTCTCTGCAGTGCCTGCTCCCCACCCCACCCTCCTGTTTCCCTAATGACCCACTAGAGCTTAATCCAAACTCTCCACTCCCTCCACAGACAAGTACTAGCTCACCACCCAGCAGCACCTCAGGAGGGTCCAGATGAGCCCCGTGCTTCAGCAAGAGAACAGAGACATCCTCTTCGCTCCCCTCCTCTCTCCCGGGATGAATGTTTGGAGGACTGAATAGCCCATGTAGCCTGGGGAGCGGCGGAAAGAGCAAGCCCAAACTCGAGTTGGCAGTTGCCCATCTAAGCAGCATCAGCAAGAATTCCACCCGGCGGGCAAGGGCAGCAGTGGGGGGTGGGAGGGAAGGCTTTGGTCAGGCTCTAGCCTGACTTCCGGGGCTTGTCCCGGCAAATCATCCTCCAGCCATTGTCTCCTCCGACCCTGGTGGTGTAGGGGATCACGTGCCAGGTCAGCAGCTGGAGCACACCGGATGAGGCTGTCTGTCTGCACCCACGAAGACCTACAGCCTCAGACAGAAACCCTGCCCAGGAGCTTCCGGGGGTTCCTCCTGCTGCTCTGCTCCTCTGGCTGCTGGGGAGGGGCCAGGGGTGTCCCCTTCCCTGGTGACCCACATGGCAAAGCAGGGAAAGTGATGGCCGCCATACTGGAGCCTGGAGGGAGTCG